ACAAGCAAACAATATCTATCAACAGCTAATGTACATCTCATAAAATCTGTTGTCCCTAATGATATGTATCTTATCCACAAAAGAATCCTCCCAACATACCCCCTTCGATTTCTCTTTATGCAAATTAACAAACTTACTTTTCTTTCTCTCAAACTGCAAAGCAAACTCAAATAGCCAAACTCAAGAAAGATAGTAGAATCACAAAGTCAAGAAATCAGAGTAATGTTTAATAATCCCAATAATACTTTGTAATCCTTGGGAAACCACTCAGAATTATGTCCTTAATGATGATCCTTAGTCATCCAGAAAACTTTACACATGAATTACAGAGAACACATGTATATGTATTTGATATAAGAACACAGGGACTTGGGCAATAGATTTTGGAAAGATTTCAATTTAAAATAAAAGATGCTGCTGAAGGCAAGAAAAGCTAGACTCCTGCTATATTCTTCTTTCTCTTTAGATCAGGGTTAAATTTTCAGCTCAACTTCAGAAACACAAGGGCCTTCTGGTTTGAATACTGCATTCTATTTTTTTCCCTTTTTGTTTTGACATTCTATTTTAATTTGTGCTTTTCCTGGTTCTTGTTTTTTAATTTATTATTTATATTGGGCCGTTTTATTGTTTGCCTTGTAAGTCACCTCAGAAATTTTGTAGAACAAGACAGAAACATAAATAAATCACTACAACTAGCAATATAGGTTAATGTGTTGCAAAAGTAGGCACTCAGTACAAATGTGTTGTCTACAAAGAAAAAAGTGATGATATTAATCATGAGTATTGCTGAATCATTAGTATCTTCCCCACTTTCTAGTCTTTTGATTAGGTGCAATGGGAAAGAAAATACAGCTCCGTAAAAGGGTCACGAAACTTAACGACCATGTGAAAGGAAATTGCAAGGGAGAAGGATGAATGGAAAAACCCATATTTCCAAGCACAGTCCTTTCTTCTCTTTTTTAAAACAACTGTGCTATACAGGAGCATAAGCTAATTTAAGCTTCCCTCATCCCTTGTGAAACCGGAGGGAAGGACAACAAAATCAAAACTGACCCCAAGGCTCAAAGGCCCATATTACCAGGAAGCCTCAGAGTGATATCACAGTGTTTCCGGTCCCCTAAGGAAGACTGGTAAGGTGGCCAAAGAGCTTAGAGGGTGTGTGATTTTCATAGGCAGAAATCAAACCACTTGAAAACTCATCTTCAGGTTATCCTCTGCTAAGGAAGCAGAGTTTAGTCAAAAGTCCCTTGTGACAAAGCTAGTAAGCCATCAAAGGCTACTCTGGAATTAACAGACTTTTAAGATTCCACCTAACTCCATTCCTAGTTCATAGCATCCCAAAAGTAGTGGAAACAGGATTGATGTAAGGACGTCCAAGTTCTTGACCCACTTATGCCAAATCTGACTCAATATGCAACCCCAGACAAGTCACCAAGCTTTCTTGTGCCCATTTGTAAATAGAGATGGTAATTCTTGACATGCCTATTTTCCTCAAAACTATGAAACTAACAATAGGTATTTTCTGTCGATATTTAGAAGCATACACAGAAGCTAACTGCTTCCTGCTCTTTGTTCCCCTTACGCTCTGTGACTGTTACAGCAGTCACCCAGTCTCATGATTATCTGTTTGCATGTCTGTGTGCCTAGCTACCCTTAGAGCCCCTGAAGGGTAGAAAAGAGGTCAAATTCATCTTGACACCCCTCAGCTTCCATCACATCATCTGACATACAGCAGGTGCTCGATAAATATCTTCTGAATGTTAAAAAAGAAAGATAACACCCAGCCACAAAACCCTCATGATGTCTGACTTTTTTTTTTTTTTTTTTTTTTTGGTTTTTGGTTTTTCTCCGGTACCGGAACCGAACTCATGACCTTGCGCTTGCCAGGCAGGCGCTTTGCCGCT